ATTCAATGGGAGGGCAAGGGTATATATTTCAAGGGATTAAAATGTAGGACATCTCTACACTACTTCATGGGCTTAATATGTTCTCCTTTTGTTTGTCTTACTTTCCTTTTTTAGTCAGTTTAAAAAAGAATGTCTTTTTCCTTTTTTGACAACTCTTTAATTCCAACTTTCCACATGACATGTTTGAGACCACAAAATCAAAGGGCATTTTGGTACATTTGACATTTCATTAATTTAAGATCACAAGATTGAAAAGTCTTCTACTTTCTTAAACTTCATGCCAAGTCAAAATAGGACTAACAAAATGAAACGGAGGGAGTGGTACATCCCACTGTGTGTGTGCCCTCATTATCAGACTCTAAGAGCTTTCCTGAAGTGTAGGATAAGATCAATCAATGGGTCTTTTACATATCAATCAATGCTATTCATTGAAATTCTCTTAATTTAGTTCAAACCAAGTATCTACGAATTGCCAAAATAAGGATGGCTTCTGGTTATTGAAATCATTTCAGTATATCATATAATTATTATAATCAAGACTAACATATTCATGTCCGTCTTGGTTTCTTTTTTTAACTGCTCGATCTGTGATCAAATTTAGTTTTTTGGTGATTGACTATCACGAGTCTAGTTAATCATGTATATATAATGACAGCTAGATTGTGGGAAATGTGTCTTTTTTCTACTGAACATGTTACTAGTAATCATATTTTTTTTGCGCTATTATAAGTTTGAAAGAGAAATCATTAGATAGCACATTAAATAATCTAAACATGAAGTAGAACAATCAGTCTCTAAATAGTGCTGCTTTCTATGACTACGTATAGTAAGCCACTAAACCAAATATCTTCATCTGCTCCTGATCAAATTGTCATATGTAACACACAATAGAGTATGATCTACTTGATGTTATTGCAGGTTCCCTTCATTTGTGAAGGCATCTAAACTGGGTAAATATGAAGCCACTCCAGCAAAAGGTTCACTAACATCAGGAAAGCAGAGTCCTCCAAGGACAGACCCTTCTGGTGTACCTCAATCTACATTTGATCCAGTACGTTCAGATTTCATATGATTATCCAAGCACCTTGTTTAGGTGTGCTTTCCTTATCAATTAGTTTTTCTGCCACGCCTTATTCTTTTTGTTTATTTTAGTCCCTTTCAGCGATACTATATTCAGCTCTACGGAAACTTCGTACTAATATTGTTAGGGAATCTGGAGATGGTGTCATGGCTCACCATATATTTGGGTAAGTGCCTTTTTAGTCTCTTTTTATTTTCCTCTATTTTCCTTTTTCTCTAATAGAAAATTAAGCATCTTCTTGTTGCTTCCACTTCACTTGGGCAATGGTGTTGAACTTAAGTCATACTTTTGAATTTCTCCCGGCTTTAAAAGATGTGATATGCAAGTCAGCCCTGTTGTTTTGCTGCTTTACGGTTTGGTTCTCTTGAACCATAGTACTCCTCTAGTTCATATTAAGTGATTTTTTCAAAGTTCAAGAGAACTGTAGGAATTTTCTCCATATTTACCCTTCCTTTTGATGAGGTTCTTAACTATTTTACATTTTCAAAGAGAACAGTTTAGAAATAATTAAAAGGGTAATAATAGAAAGTAGCTTTCAATTTTTGTCCTCAACTGTTTTTCTCAAGGGTGCACACTGTGCCATACAGCTACAGTTCACTTACTATGGACTAGAGGGAGTAGTATATAAAAAGTTGATCAAAGAATCACATGATGTTCAGAATCCTTTAAAAAGGATTGCTTTTGTTTGGCATATTGTGCCGTGGAAAAAAATCTGGTAGAAGATGTTCTGTATTCTTAAAGTTGGTGTATATGCATTCTTTGCTAGAGTCCTTTGCACTCAGGCATCCCACGTTGCATATTTGCACAACTTATTCTAACTTATCAAAAGAGGAGTAACCAACAACAGATGAATTATTTGCAGGTTATGCGGGACTCTGTTTCTCTTTAAAGTTAAAACATTTTAGTGTAAAATAAATTTCTTAGACTTTTGGATTCAGGTCTAGGTATGGGCTTTCTAAGTTAGATTTTTCTTTGCCATTCTCATCCATATGATACTTCATTTGAATGTTCCTCCACGCTGGAGGATACAAAAGGAAACAAATCACTTGGTATATCTTAGAAATGTATGCGTTATTGTAGACTAAAGTTAAGCTGTTTGATGTGCCATGTCGTCCTTTTCTTCTTTCCTGTTGTCAGGAGCTGATGAAATTGTTCTCCTTTTCGTTAATTTTCTAGAGATGACACCCTGCAGCTGATTGGCCAGAAAGTACCTAGAACTAAAAATGAGCTACTTGACATCAATGGAATTGGCAAGTAAGTTAGAGAACAAGTTAGACAATATTTTCACCCTTTGTTCCTCATGTTTAATGAGCTTGATGGTGCAATTTAGGGTAAAAATCAACAAGTACGGGGATAATGTGCTGCAAACCATTGAAGCTACGGTCAGGGATTACTATAAGTCAGATAAGACGAGTAGCAGTGGCAATGACAATACTGATTCAGGTAAAAAGAGGAGAAATTCCATCAATGTACAAAACGGGAACTCCAAAGATGAAGAATTCTTCACTGAAAGCACTGGATGTACTAAGAAAAGGGTGTTAAAGAAGCAGAACAAACATGCTGAGGTTATTGATTATAGGGACCTTGGGTATTTTGATGAATGTATAGACGGTGACCTTGATTTCGATGAGACTATGATGCCTTAGTGAATGCTTCCTATTTCAAAAGTTGATCAGAATGAAAGAAGCTTTTTATGATCAACATCCCAGGTTGTATGGTTCGAAGTTAGCATCGCAGTTTGCATGGGTGAAAAGTTTATGATCATCACACTGTTCTTATTAATTTGGGTGAAATGTAAATCTGTTAACAGAACTGCTGGAACAAGGCTCAAGTTCCAGCTACTATGAGATGCTAACTTAATCTTGATAGGACTCATCTTAGTGCATATAATAATTCTCTTTTCTATATTTTAGTTGATTGCTAAATTTTCTATTGGATTCATTAGGACTTTCTGAATCCTGCTTGCTACCGTTTTAAATTAGCTTTTAACCTTAGTAATTTGTTCTTTATCAAAGATTCAATGTTTGTGATGGCCAGCTAAGCTGTGTACAGTGAATTTATTTATTTTTGTTTAAATATATTCAAAGAAATAAAACCACAATCTTTGTCATGTTGGTCATCAGAAATAAGTGAGTAATTTAGTCGGAAGGAACTAACATCGCCATATACCATTTAATCTAAAAATTAGCTTGGATATTTTGAATGGGCAAATTGCTCGCGAGCACGCGTTTGAAGATATCAGTCAAATTCATACGTATCGTATGCCTACTGGATTCTCTCGGTTCAGCTTGTTCATTCTATTTTTTTTTCTTTTAATTTGAGTAAGAAAAATGTCTCTTCTCCCTTTCTAATAACTTCTTAATATTAATTTTCACATGGTTGGTTAAAGTTTATAAAATTTAGAAAGTAATTTCAATACATTACAAATTTTACAAAATTTAGCACATAACTTTAAAAAAAGGAAATAAATCGGATACCAATATATATATATATAAAAAGATTGAAAATTGTATATGGTATCATATTTGTAATTAAAAATCTAATTTTGTAAATAAAAAGAAGTATATACATATATTGTCAATTAAGGTCTTAAATATTATATATTTGTAATTTTTCATCATGAAATTCCCAAATTTTAAATTTTTTATGCGAAATTAAAATTCGACAAACAAATTAAATCGAATGGAATAATATTTACTTCAGGAATAATGTCTTAAGTCAATAATCATCAAACGATGTGATGTAGTGAATGAGGTTTTACTCATTACTTCATTAGAGATTTCGAATTCAGACTCTGAATATAAAAATGGAAGAATAATATTACATAACTAAAATTATTACGATATTAGCGATATAGCGTATTGTTTAATTAATCATTTTCAAATTTCATGTGTAAGTATCCCTCGATCTTAATTTGTTTGTTTGTTTGATTTATTTATTTATTTTCAAAAAATATATTTAAATTTTGTAATTTGAAACTAAAAATATGTAGTATATATCAAAATATCTTTTAGTTTAATAGTGTTAAATAAGAGATTGAAAAAGTTAAGACGAAAGAATTATTAAAAAGGAATTAAGATATTTTGATTCCAAGTTACAAGAGAAACTTGGTAATCCCAAAATAATGGAATCAAGCCGTGAAATGGATTAGGTAATTTTAATCTTGATTTTATACGTATCTAAGTTTTATATTTGTGAAACTCAACAATGTTTTGTCTGTTACTTTTCCGTAATCTATTCAGATAATGATATTTACTTAGCACATAAAATTTAAAAATAAATATAGCTCATAATAAAAAAAATTAAATATACTTATAATATGTTTATATGATTATAAATTATCCTTTAAAGATAAAAGGATGAGTTCTAAGTTATTAATTACTATTAAATAAATTAGATTTTTTTAGAGATGATTTTTTTTTTACAAATTTTAAGACTGATGAAATAATTTTGGTAAATTCAATTACCATTCATTAATTAAACTTGTATAAAAAAAAATCTATATTAAAAGAGATAACCAATTAATTAATCTCTTTCATATCATTTCACTTATTAGTTATTAATTATAGCGTCTTTATTCCGATGGTTAAAAGTATTTAGCGCAGATTTAGAATAAATAAGAACAAAAAAAAAATCAATTTAAGTTAATTAAGACTAGTCCTATTTTTACTTCTTTATTGACTTTTTTTTTCTTTTCATAAGGAGATAAGATCAGTTGAATGGCAATAATTAATTAAGACGATCTGAGATCCAAAGCGAAACCAAAATTTAAAAGAATACAAAAATAGTGTTACCCATTTTGTCAGGTAACTGAAACGTGTCATGTAACTTAACGTGCCATGTAAGTAATTTCACGGTGACTACCCTCTGCATTTTTTCTATAAGCCTACTACTCTGTCATCCCCCACCTCGCTTCACTCTGCTTTTTCAACTAAAACTTGCAGAAATTGAAGAGCAAAAAACTGAAGGATCTGATATTTATTTTCTGAATTATTGTATAGTTTGATGGGGTGGTAAGAGATCAGCTCTCTGTAGAATTTTTCTTTATGAAAAACTATGAGGATTATGAAAAACCCTAACATATCTAGCTCGATTAAGGATGGAGATGTGAAGATGGAGGAGGAAGAAGGTGTAAAGAGAAGGAGGGAAAGTGAAAAGCCACCAGGGGATGACTGTTGTCCTATTTGCTTTGGGGATTTCTCAATTCCTTGTAAAACCAACTGTGGTCACTGGTTTTGTGGTACACTTCTACAATCCTTTACTTACTAATACTACTACTACTGTTTGTTTTTTCTAGTGAAATAAGTAAGTTCTATGTAGATTATGATTTCCTTGTCCATGGTTTTCCCTTTTTCCGCAGCTAATTGCATATTGCAGCTGTGGTACTACAGATCAACACTGCGGCGATGCAAGTGTCCAATATGCAGCTGCCTCATAAGTAAATTGGTACCGGAGGCATCATTACTTGTTCAACAGGAAAAGGATGTTGTCGAGCTGCTTAAAAAGATTAGGCGGTACAATCACATCTACATTAGTGGCGCTTATGGGATTTTTCTCGTAAGGCTGTTGTCTTAGAAACTTTATTTCTGCAATGTGATTCTCAGTTTACTGTTTTATTGGGGATGTTAAAGTTATGTATCTTGAGCCTAACTCGAGGTGAGATTGTCCAAGTCATATTAAAGAGACCATCCATCCATTAAAGGGCTGGTTTGGGACTCTTCATGCTCATTTCACGCCCAGTACTTTTTATAAAACTCTATTAGCATCTCCAGTTGAGGATTTATTGTTCTATAAAAGTATCCCAAACTAGTTCCCCTACTGTTTGTGATGTCACTTCATTCTTTTATAATTTCAACCTCTCTTTGTTTTTACCTATGGTAGGAAATTGTGTAACGTTACCCTAGTTAAGTGGATTTAATTAGATACAAGGAGGTCCATCTTAGAAATTCTGCTTGAAGTTGGTGCAGATTTAACTAATATATTGAGCCAGCTGGAAGAGGTAATAAGCAGTCAGGAAGTGATACAAATAAAATGTTGTCAGAGAGCCAACCTTTCAGTCTGATACCCTTCTTTCTGATGTGGTACAGTGGCAGTTAGCAGAAGGGGGAGAGATCTGATGTGGATAACTCCTAACACTTTCTGGTCCCAACTCTGAAAGATATGTGGTACAATTGTACAAGTATGTTGAGTACAAGTAAAGCATATCACAATTAGATCTTACCTCTGATGCAAGTTGTTACTAGCATTGGTGAATAATGTAATCTTTGACAATAAGTTAATATTTGGGTGCTGCAGCCTTGCATTTTGTTCCTCATTAAAGATTGTTGCTGACCTTTCTTCTCAGCCATAGCTCTATGTGATTTTATGCTTAATTAAATAATGGTAAAACAAATTAATTTGTTTTGTGAGTGCACTGAGAAGACAAGACTACCTGAGCAATAATTTGAGGTCTTGGAGGAGCTAGCTCTTAAAAGTGAACTTCTCTGAATGGAAGGACACTTGTGGAGGATTCTTTGAGTTGGGAAGTGTCTCTGTTACCTTATCTTCTCATATTAATTCATAAGAGAAAAAGAGAATGAATATTTGTTAAGAGACCTAGTTCTTATGGAAGTATAATTAGAAGAGCAAGTGTCATTAGTGATTTTAAAAATAAAAATTTTGTGTGGGGTGGGTGGGGAGGATACTTTCTTACAGCTTATTTGGTGCCTTTTGAGCCCTTTATTGCTACAGCTGTGCCTATACAACCTAATGGAATTAAGGAAGTTCCGCTCATAGAAAGAATTCATTGATGAAGTGAAGCAAATTGATTGATCTTATGATTCATTTTAAAACTTCAGAATATACGTTCCTGATATGTCTGATTTATATGTCTCTTTCTCCTTCCCACAGAAGGTACTAGCACTGCCGCTTTTAACTCGGAGAGTTCTCCGAGCACTGATGGACACTCTGATGGATCCTGATCAAGTTCGATTAAACTATTACTTGATGCGCATTTTCGCAGTAAGTTTTTTAAAGAGTAAATCGGGAATCTTCCAATAACTTCTGGATTCTTGTTTCAACATTATGTGGGTAATGATGCATAGTTATGTAAGTGCTGGAGGATCTAGAGAAGTGTCACATTTGAGTTGCCATGCGATCTCATTGCCTTTTCTTATGATTATGATTACTCAATAACCTTGCGTTGTGAGAGAAAATGATCCATATTCTTTGGATCTACTCTGTGCTGGGTGAAGCATGGATTCTCATGAAGTACCCTAGGACAATTTTGGTTAAATTTTTCTGTGAAGTTGTTAATGACATGGAAAATCCCTGGAATATCGCCTACACTGGTAATGTAAGTACTGTACTATGCAAAACCAAAAGACCACTTATTTTATTGAGCATTCCTTTTTGTTTTATGATGTAATTATGTTATAAATCATCTTTATTATAGAGTTTGTTTTCTGATTGTTTAGCTTTTAGCTTCTTTCGGCACAGTTGGTCGCTCTTAAAGTTAATCCTTTATGTTCACTGCAGTTGTTCCTGAGTTGGATCTACTGGGGCTGCGAATTTCAGTTCATTCCTACTGGTATTCTACTTGTCATACTCTATTGAAGAACTAGATTTGTATGGCATGGCATGATGTTAAGTTTTATGATTATTGCAGCCATAAGAAACTGGCGAATCTCATCCTTTGTAGGGGCGCTGATTTTAGAATCATTTATACCATTAATATATGGTCATGACAATGCGACTTAATAGAGTAGTCCATACTAATGAAACAAGAGAGTATCTCGTAGAATGAGTTGTTTGTTTGGTTTATAGAGAACTGTTCTAATTCACTTCTAGGACTTCCCAGGTCTTGATTCTTCATGCAGTCATTGAGGATGTTGCTGAATTTTGAACATAAGCTGATTAATGTCTTGTTTGTAGGAGGACTGGGAATCTGGAGGTTGTTTGACATCTGTGCTATTGCCACGGTAGCCATTTTCTATATAGTTGGTCTATACCATAGATGGGTGCTTCGTCGTCGTGTGAGACAGTTGGCTGTTCTACCAATACATCCTGATTGAAAGCCTATGCCTTCTTACCCGGAAGTCTTTGCTGTGAATATATCTCAATGTTTGTTGCCCAAAAAAAGAGATCCCCATGCAGAATATTTGTATGGGAGGTTATTTTAAACCATTTTCTTCTACTCATTTTGTTGGTAGCCAAGAGATTGTAATTCCTCCCCCAATGATAGGTCATATATGTTAGTCTTGAACTCTAATTAACAAAGTGCTTAGTGTGCTTTTGGTACATATTTGAACTTGGTAGGTCCTAGAGTATTTCACCAATTAGTTATCCAAGATTGTCAACGCTCGTAGTCTGAGTTAAATCTTCGAGACTTCAGAAGTCTACAGCATGATATGTGGTTACCTGCTCATTGAGATTTGGCACATTCATGGTTAAAGCATCAAGTTTTGGGCTATTCTTATGATTGTTCGATTTATCCTTACTCATTTCTTAGTTGCTTAAATCAAGCTAAAAAAAAAAGGTTGCTTGATTCACCGAAGGAAAATGTGCCCTTTCATTATTGAAATAATACAGTCAGCCCCCGGGTTATTTTGTTCTTAGGCAAACTCAAATAAATTTTTTGAAGGATTCTAGCACGATAATTCAAAAATAATCGAAGAATTTGAACCTCATTTAGGGGCTGATTCGACGTTTTTAAAGTCGTAATGTAATTACATATGATTTTTACTGGTAATTGATATTAACTAAATATCTTTAACCTTGAGATGCACTAAATTTTGAAAATAATTTATGTGAGTTATTTTTTATTTTAGTTCGTCCAAAAAAAAAATCATACATTTCTATATTAAGTAATAATTCAATTATAAAATATTTATTTTATTCTTAATGTAATGCTTTATAGATATATTTTCTATTATTTAGTTTGAATCATAGGTTCTAAAAGACTTTTTTTTTTCTCAAATTTCGTTTTAAATCAAATTATTCCACATAAAATAAAATGAGAGAGTACCATATTACATGGCTAATTAATTTTTAACTTAGATAATTAAATGATTTACAGTAGTCTTTGAATTTTAAAAATGGGTGAAGAAGGCACACAGTTTTGTGTTCAATTATAGCAAAATTTTAAAAAAATAATTTTAATTTTATTTATGATTTTTCTCTCTTTTTTGTATTAAAAGAGAAATGAGTAAATTATGTCTCTAAATCATTTGGAAGCTCTTTTAAAGCATCTATTCAACACATAACAAAAGGATCAGGTATATTCCTAATTCGATCCATAAATTAACCTTTTTTTTAAATGAAATATATTTAAACATTTTCGGATAATTTAAATGCAGAAGAAAAAACGCAAGAGTATTTGCAATGAACCGTAAAATTGATGTTTCCCGTGAACGCCGTAAAAACAAGAAAAGGATAAGACCAGAAAGGTGATGCTGGAAAGTGTGCGACTAGGATCAATATTTCCGGCACGTCATCAACATTTCCGCATATATAAAAACAAGCATTCTAAACAGAAATTCTTCCATTTCCATTATTTTTGCTATCATGAAGTTCTTCCTCCATAGTATTCCTTTACGAAATCGTCGTCAAAACCCTAACCCTATCCCACCTTCTCCAGCTATGCTTTCTGACTTAGCTTCCGATTCCGGTGACGGACGACAGGAGGAAACCGCTTCTTCCTCCTCCGCTGCCGTGATGAATTCGGACGAGGAAGAGGAGGAAGAAGATATGGGATATAAGTCGCCTGATGATGAGGTGAGTACGACGTTGTTTTCAGGAACGGAGATAGAGGATGAGCTGGAAGGTAATCGTGAACCGACAGCCGAGGATGAGGACCTTCGGGAGTTGGATGGTGCATCTTCTAAGAGCCTTGTGGTTGTTGAGACAGAGAATGCGTTTTTGAGGACGGAGAAGCCTCCTACTGATGATTGTTGTCCAATCTGCTTTGGAAATTTTGTCGTTCCTTGCCGAGGTCCTTGTGGCCACTGGTACTGCGGTAAAACATTTAGCTTATCTTAATATCTCTGGTTCATCTCCATGTTTATTGTGATTTTTATTATTGTAATAGCTCAACTGCTCAAGGAGTTTTCCATGAAATTGATTATGTGCTGCTATTTTTGGAAGGAATTTGGGGCTATATGGAGCAGATGATGTTCTTTGCTCTTCTCTGAGATTTCGTAACTACTAGGAGGTGCTAGGGGATAGTGATCTTTCTCGTACTACATTTAGATTTTGCAACTCGCCTTGGAAATTGACGGTGGAGAATGTGGAAGCACCACATGAAATTATATATATAGTTGGATTAATTTGTTAAAAAGGAAGAAAATATAGTTGGAAAACCAGCTCAATACCATAATTTTGTAGGTTCATTAGGAGGCTTTAAACATGTGCAGCTCATGTCGAATCATTTTTACTCTATTGCTCTTACCTTTTTCATTAGTTTGGCTGAAATCTGAAGTACGTTAGGGTTAAATCCACTATCTTATTTGGAATCCCTTTTTCTGTCAATACCTAGGAGAAGATAATGATAATGTCTTGCAAGTGTAGTTGGAAATTATCCTTCCTATGGCAATTTATTGATTAGGACAATATTTAAATCTCCTTGAGAATTGTTGAAATCTGTTATCTCATAATTTTGCTAATCCTGGTTCCGTATCCTCTTGGAGAGTGAGGTATCAAGCATCTCCTGTGCTCTTATATATTTGACGTTAATTGTTTAAATGTTCATCGTGAAGAAGTAATTGCATTCTCAAGAAAAGCCACGTGTAACGTAGTCGACCATAACAGTTATTTATCTTGAAGTTGTTCCTGCCAAGCTTTGCCTCAATACTTTTTTCTTTCAACACATTCTTACAATTTGGTTTCTATGTGTGCAGGAGGTTGTATTTTGCAGTATTGGAACTATGGTGCCGCACTTCAGCCTTGTAACTGCCCCATGTGTTCGAGGAAGCTTACTGATTTGACACCAGAGGCATCATTGTATAGTCAGCAGGATGCAGAAGTAATTGAGGTTTTGAAAAAAGTTCGAAAGTATAATCGCCTTTTTATAGGTGGCACTTATGGCCTCATGCTGGTGCGTTAGACTTGTATGTTGTTCTATCATATGTTAGATTGCGTAGATGGGGTTATCCTTATATTTTAAGCACAGATTGTACCATCTGTTTGGACCCTGTGTCTCCTATGTTTTTGGTGGGGTCTATTAGTGCATCGTTGGTTCTTTCAAGCAAGCAGAATATCGTCTTGTTTAATCCATTAATTTTGAGCTCAAGATCATGTGCTTTGAAAGAAAAGGTCATTAATATTCTCGAGATAAAGTCTTGAATATTTAAGCTCCATGAGTTCAGCAAGAGATTATACAAATCATGAAATCAGACAGTGTTTATCGTATGAATTGAATTGATCTTGTTTGTGCTAACTGTTTACGGGTATTCCTCTTGCCTGCCTGCCTATGCTTTGTGAAACAAAGCTAGTTGAACCTAACAAGTATAATGCATACCATGTATCTTATATTATGTGAGTTTGTTGCTTCAGCTATCCTCTTGCCTGTCTATGATTTGTAAAAAATAAAAAGTTAGTTGCACCTAATTTTTACATCAACCTAATAAATACATGTAATACATAACGTGTGTCTTTCTTTGAATTGTTCTCTCTTGTGAATAATAGCAGTGTAATATTTTCAGTGGTATCTAATCCTTCACATTTTGCAGACACAATAACTGGTTTACCATTAAGTATAAGCAGAGCACCACATTATTTTTATTTTAGCCCTTCTCTTTCTATTTTCTGCAGAAGGTGCTTGGGTTGCCCTTTTACATAAAGAGAGTGTTCAATGAAATGATGAATCCTGACAGGCCTGGTGCTCATTTGAACAAATTGCGTATTTTTGCTGTAAGTTCGTCTGACAGCTTAATGCAATGACTGCAACATTGCTACTTTAATCAGCTATCTGTAGTATTTGGTTTTATAGCTCTACAACCTCGATATTCTCCCTCAATTAGTTCCAAAGTGAAAAACAAATTCTCATTATTTATCAGTTTTCTGGCCTTAAATTGTTGTTAAGGTTTCTTTCTGATTTGCTATCTTATCTAATTTGCCATTCTATTCTTTGTTATATTTTAGTAACATCATTTCTTGAACTTATCCGCTGAAGCAGATAATTTCTTGCAGATGTTCCTGGGACTCCTTTACACATTCAGCCCCTTTGATTTTCTCAGAATAGGTACACACATCTGCTAGTTGAACTTGATGGGTGTAGAATTTGAAGAAAAATAATTGGCCAATTTTTCTTGTAGTATTGGTCTATTAAAACAAGTATATGAACTATGAACCTCTATGTTGCATTACAGGGACTTAAATAGTAACTGAGAAAATTCATTTTTTGTCTGTCTTCACTATTAGACCTCTATTTATTGCTGGGAGAGCTCTTCTTTCCCCGCCCTTCTGCATGCTGGAGTGCTATTGGGTATTTTTGTTGGTGAATAACTCAAGGTGCATTTCTCTTTGCATTGACCTATTTTTTTATTGCATCTCACTGCAGGCCGTCAAAATGTAATTGATGTATTTGATTATTCTGCCATTGCACTATCCTCAGTGTTATATTTGGTTGGGCTGTATCTTCGACGAAGGCGTTTTCGCCATGTCAGGGAGATGGCTGAGGCTGATTTTGCTGCTCATTGACAGCTGCCAACTGGTGAAGCAGACATTTGTCAACTCGTTGTGGAGCTTGACGATTCTGGATTTCTAAAGATCGTCCTCTGCTTTTGTGGTTGTGCGCTTTTGCAGAGTTTGACATGGTCTTTCCCTATGATGCAGTTCTCTTACATTTACCTGCCAGTGTGTACAGATAGGATGTAGTGTTATGATGTATATACATACTCATTTAGTTGATCTCTCTTCCACCCCATCATATATTCTTGAATCTGAATGGAATATAGTCAATAGAAAACTACCGGCTTGTGTACTAATAATGAACTAATAATGAGTCTTATCACCCTACGTTGAACAAGACCTGTTCTACAGGCTCTTGCTATTATGTTCTGTCCTTGTTTAAGAGTTCCGTATATTTTACCAGCTTCTTTTTTCTTTATATTACTACTGTTATTTTCTTTATATTACTAACGCTATCTCTTCAAGCTTTAGCTATATGCAAATCACCCCTTCGTCACTTTGCAGAGAGGGATCTTATTTACTTCTTTGAGTGATCGGTATTTGTGAAGAGACGTTAAAGATGCTGGACATGATGGCAACTTTTTTGCAGCAGCTGATCCTCGATTCTTTTTACACTAACTTAGCGAAGAAAAACCAATCAGGAGAAAAGTCAAACTTCATTACGTCACAACATCTGATGTTTTTGTTAGTTGATAAGGGAACACATGGTAAGTCGAGTGAATGGACCATTCAAAATGCTATCTTCGGAGCATCTGTGAGAACACGGGAAGCTATGGAAGAATA